CTTCAAACGCACGAAATTCAATCCCAAAACGACAGCAAAACGTGGAGAATTTTCGAAATTTGAAGAATGCAAATCCAAGCACGAAGCTGAATTTCAGCGGAAGGGCTTAAAGTCCAAAAGTTTTGGGATCTTAGCGCTTGACTTCAAACGCACGAGATCCAATCCGCAAACGATGGCAAAACGTGGAAAATTTTCGAAATTTGACAACGCATATCGCTTACATCTTTGCCTTGTTTATTTTCTTATTTTGGGGAGGAGGAGGATCCTAGTGGGAGGGATGTTATCGGACGCTCCAAGCTAGTATATAATATGACAGCAAGGAGGTACGAATAGAGGGAGAAGATAAACATCAAAGGCATTTCCTATTAATCGCTTCCCTTTCGAGTACCGTGACTTTGAGGTGGCTCATCCTCCGTGCCTGGTGCCACTTGTGAGCTGGGCTGAGGCCTTACCCTCGAAGATCTTTTACCGAACATCTTGCAACTGGTCTTGATTACGTGTCGGTAATACAAATCTCAGAAGGAGCCAGTGCTTCCTGGTCTAAGAATTTCTAAGTACAAAACGAAGAAGGGGACGATGAAATGTCGCACTTTCGTGGTCGTCTCTTGCAACGAATCTTTTTCTTTCCTTTCCCCAAGAATTCGCTTGTTGGTGCAAAGATCATCATCGGTGTTCCACCAGCAATATCAAGTGATCTATTTCATGCACTCCAATATTATTATGTGTTCCGAAGTTGTGATGTTCAAAATTGACAGTTTATAGCTTAGAAGTTGCATTAAATGTACTACATCTAGCTTTTGCTGAACTCTAAATCGACAATCACGAAAGAACTTGCACCTCTACACACAACAGTCTTCTCGTTCTCGTTTTCCACGAATTAACTCTCAAACGATAGGATCCCACGACAAAAGCATCCCTCAACATCGAATAACCAGAGTGAATCCTCGAACCGAGAGGTGAAGCGACTGCACTCGTACTCGTTTATTCGCTCTCATCATTATAGTATGCAAGTTTTCTGTCCCTGTTTACTTCCAGTTCACTTCCTATATGCATGTCAGTACATGTTCGATGCAGTGTGCTGTTAGTCTGTGTCATTTCGATTGCAGTTGTTCCATGGTGCTGTGATCTAGAAGTACTCTGTGTCACCTTGGTAGTCTTGCAATCCCAGAGTCCGTTTTATCGACGGCCAGGAGCTTTTATTCTCCTGCGTCTCATCAGGGACTTTTATGCGTGGAAAGCCAAACTTCTTTTATGCGTTATAAATCTACGTTTTTATGCGATCATTGACACCTTGGTTCGAGGGGGAGAAGCGTGCGGGTTCTGTACTGTACATGGCTAAGTCTATGCAGTATGTTGACGAGGATAAATCCATAATTTTATGATGGTGCGACGACGAAGTGGGATTTGTGTTTATGAAGCTTATGTTCCAACTCAATAAAGGTGTAGAGGTAGGTAAAATAGCGTAAACATGCAAATTTCTATTTTCTTTGAAAATTGTTCCTTCTCTTTATAGAATCCATCTTTTCCCTCATCTGTGTCCCTTTTTTGACTTGAAAGCAGCCCACGGATGAGCTAAAAGACACAATCTCCAGAGAGCCTGCGTGAGGCCGTAAGAAAAGAGCTTACGTGAGGCCGTAAGAAAATTGTTCCTTCTTTCTGAATTTCCTACAGTACAAGATAACTTTCCTGTAATGCAGATCTTGATCATTCCTTAAGGATGTCATTCATTCGGCTATGTCAATAAATCCGAACAAGCCCACTGCGCTGTTCAAACATCAATACTTCTCCATCTCTCTCCAGGAGGGGTAGCAGTAGGTGTAGGAGTTGACTCCACTAGCAGGAAACACGACATATCTGGTGCAACCGAGCGGGCCTCTTCGACACATGCATCAGAGGTGGACATTGTCACATTTTCATCGTGCACGAGGTGTAAGATACCTGGGAGTTGGTTTGTCATGTTTTTACCATCTTGATGATTGTATTCTTCCAAAGAGGACTACATGACGCAACTGTCTTTTCATGTGTGAGAAGTTAATAAATGAGAGCTCCAACTGTGTTCACAATATCAATCTAGATATATCGATTAAGCAATTCAGTATATAACGACAAATACCTAGACACTTTCCATAGCTGAGAGAGAGCCCTAGCTCTGTGCCTTGTCATCGGACGTAGGCGGCAAGAGCGGAAGAGCACGCTTTGGACAGCACCAGGATCGCAATTGGCGGCGACAGAGATGGAGGTCAAGCACAACGAGCACATTCGAGGTGCCACCCAAGATGGCACTCGTGTTCACACCAAGAGGTTTTTCGGGAGTTGTCGTAGCGCCAGTACCAGTGAGGGGGCCGTCACCCTCTGCGCCTTGGAGGAAGGAACCCTTTATCAATGGGAAGAAGGCAGCCAGTCTCTTGGACGTATTAACCCGTACAGCGAAGAATGAAGAATGTAACTCATATGAAGATATCCTTTTTGAACTCAATGAAGAAATCAAAACAACCAGAATGCACTACGCAGAAGAGATTCGTTTCTGCTGTATTCAAAGATCGAAATCGGAAAGTGGAGTTTTCCTGTAATGCCTACACACGGTTTTTGTCTAAGTCAGCAGTTAGCTTTAGTGCTTTTTCCGACTGCAAATTTGAAGAGTGTAGGCGATGCTCTATAGGCCTAAATGCATTGTCAACCGCTGTTTCAGAAGCCACGACGAGGACCCGCCGGACAAGACTGCTGCGGCTGTCGGGCGCCGGTGTCACGGCTTCTGCCAATGGGCCCAAATGAACGCGAAACAAATACAGAAACCATTCAGGAGGGGTGACAAAAAATTCAAAACGCATTCCCTACGTCGAATATCGAAGAGACGTTCGACGAAGCCTTTTTCGGGATTCATCCTCAAGTATTTGTGATACAGCCCGTCTCGTCTTTTTTTACATCCTCTGAAGCACTTCAATTACTTATATTTGGAGATTATGACTAGGTCTCAATCTTTTTACAAATATCGAAATTGTTGGATCATAAACTCTGAGCCGCATTCAGGGCCATTTTTGAAGCTGCCGAAGTCATGGCTCGAGTGCCATTTGGTTCTACGCTTGGCAGAAGCGGCGGTCGCCAGGAATTCGGGAAAGATGCTTCTGAAGATGCGGGAAAATGTTGCAACATCACGTCGCTACACGTACCAAAAATTCTCGACACCAAAAATTATTCCCGTCTTGCTTGTGAAGGTATGGTCGATCGTTTGGTTTCGTGACGACAATAGAAGGCAGAACGCGATAGGGCTGAGGAAAAATCACACAAGGTTTTTGTTGCGTACCACTTCTTTGCGACCCTGCCGCAGTGCTCGGAGTCTCCGGCCGCTTGTCTCGACCCTGTGTCGATATCTCTGGTGGCTTTGTCACATTGGTCGTGCTAGGATTCTCTGACAACGCCGAAGTGCTCGGAGCTTCTTTCGTGACCTCCTGTAAAAACTGGTTTATCGACATCGAGCCAGGCAACGTGCGTTGCCTTGACGGCCCCTCTGTGTGCCCACACGTCGTTGGACACGTTCCTGCCAAAAACACTATTCGCGTTGACGTTCATCTTGCAAGAAATTGCCTAGTACTTACCAAAATAGTATAGAATTCCGGATGAGCCACCAATAGTTATCCTTTTGCTTCTAATTCTGCAAGCTACGCTGATACGCGAAAGTTGCATGCCAGGAGACTTCGTGGTGGAACGAAATACAAGAGAAAGAGCGCGCCGACAAAATGTCGTGTGGATGAAAACATCCGCTCTACTTAAGTACTACTTCTACATGCTTCGTTGTGTCTTGCATGAGAAGTCGATTTGATCGAACGACCACGGTTTTTCAAGTCCTAAATCTGTACTCGAAGAACTAATTTTCACCAAAGGCATTCTCCTTCTCGTCACTAAAAGTATCCTCCTTTACGTCCTTCAACAAAGATTTTTTCCGCGAAAGTAATATCACGCAACACCGAAACGCGAGAAACGTCTCTCGAGCCGAAAGTTTTGCTCTCCATTTTTCCCTGTCATCTTAAGCATTTTTGAATGTCATTCTCGAATTCTGTTGGTAGACACGAATCCTGCTCTTTTCTGAGTCTAAGATGCCGACGACACGCGTTTGACAAGAGTCGGTAGACAAAGCCACCTGATGTAAGCTACTTCACCTTTATGAAGAAGTCAACATATCTGTAAATCTTATCATGTTTTCCGAATTGTGTTTTTTTCGTCCACATCGATCCATGAACGACGGCCCCACGGGTTGCGCCGAGTAGTTGCTTGTTTGTAGTTCAAGAAATAATATGACAACATATACTTACTTCGTTTCATTCTTCCTTGCCCCACCAAAGACGGGCAAAGACTTGCCATAAAACCATCTTTAAAAGAATGGTGGCTTATGTCTGCGTGGATCTTCGTGTTATGCGTAACCTCCTTATTTCATCTGTAAAAAAATCAAATGTGCCCCCCATGTTCTTTGTTCTGTGTGAAGATCCAATATTCTCAAATGTTCTTCGGCCTGTGTGAAGTAAAAGATGTGGTCCTTGTCCTTCCCTATACGTGTGTAACCCCCTTAATCCAGGCCTGATCGCGGCCCACCAGATTTCATGCGCCAAAAGAGTAAGCCACCGACGAAGCATGCTAGGATAAAGCCAGACACCATGCCCTGTGAAAACCTGTCTGCTGCCGGTTGCGTAGCTGAAGTGAAGTAGGGTTTTCGCTCAAGTGAAGGAGGTAGCAATCTTATTTGTCCAGTACACACACGACTAGTACTCCACATCAACATGGAGGAATCCAGAAGAAGTAGGTTTTTGTATCAATACTCCTGTCGTGCATTATACTTAATTTACAACAAGATACAGCAACAAGATACAACAAATCTCTTCGTAATAGATTACTACAGAGAACCAACAGAATACCAAAATTCAACATCGCTTCCTTCTGCTGCACCCACTTATTGTTATCCTGCCACACAATGGCTCCACCGTTTTGTGGGAGGTAGGTGCCTACAAAGTCTGGCGGACCTCCTTTTTCCGCAAAGTTGGCCGTCAATTTCAGTGTTAGATGAGGTTGAAGCATTTCATTTTTATATAGCAATGCTCAAGGAGAAAAATTGTAGAGGTTAAATTTTTCAACCAAGGTCCACTCTAGACCCTTTTTCCCCTTGGAAAGGCCTTCTAGCATGCTTCAGAAGATGGATTAGGCGGAGCCTTAACACTGGCCCATTGGGGAAGCCCGATGCGTCTAGGACCTTCCCGCCGACTCGCCAAAACGTTTGGCCATCATCGGTTCCCGTGAAGGCGAAGAGAAATTAGAACAGTGATGGAAGGATATGCCTTGTCCACAAGGACCTCAAGCTTCAAACCCAAATTTTCATAATCTTCACCCGCATTTGGAAAGCCGAGCAATCGGATGCCCTCTAGAGATCCGGGTTTGTAGTGATTCGGGTCCGAGTAGAAGCCACCTAGAATCGTCTGATACGATGCGGCTTGGGCAGCCACCGGTCCGACGAGAGCGGCCACAAATAACGAAAGAGAAAGCAAGGTTCTTGCTGCCATATTTCTATCTTGTAGGTGGTAAAGAAGATAATTTTAAAATAAAGGTACTATAGAATGCTGTTATATTAGAGTGGTCACTACGTGGTCTTGTAGCATAGAATCAATGTTGTCGGGTGAAAGTTACTGTTTGTTGTAGTAGCTTTTCTTAAGTTCTTTAAGAATGTAGAGTACTCATTTCTTGATGACGGTAGGAAAATCTGTCAGAACAAAATACGCATCACAGACTTCTTTCATGATGAAATTAAGAATCTAAACAAACCAATAATTAAGGGATCTCCGAGGTAATGATCAAGTTTCAGGCAATAAACACGTAGTGCTCAAACTAAAGAAGTTCCCCTGGCCATCAACTTCTTCCAGTTGGGCCTCACATGTGGCAAAGACTTTGCTCAGCCGCGTCAAAGGTCAAATTTTGTAGAGATGAAAGCGTTTCTTCATCATCTTCGTTTCAGAAACAAATCTATCTGTATCTGCCTGTCTCCACGTCTACTACAACACAGGCGCCTGATCCAAGTTCGACTATGTCAGGTCATGGCGCCTCTTACGTAGCTCTTGATGTCTACCTGTGTCATAGCATCAGCAAATAACATTCAATCCCGTACTCCTCTTCGTCTGATCTAAGTTCGACTATGTCGTGCTTTCCGTTTATAGTCAGGTGAGCCATGTTGGTCCAAGACGTCTTGAAAGTGGTCTAGATCTGCCCTAAAGGACGACCTCAATGCTGCTGCGCGTGTTTCGTGAAAGACAGCAGTTTTTGGACGAGGCCTGCTTGTCCTGCGTGCTGGTGCAGACTCCACGTCCTGCTGCCATAGGGAATTAGAAAGTATAGTGAAATGGCATGATCTCATGAGAGAGTATATATGACCCTATGTCCCAGGGCCGCACGCCCCCCCCTCCTCCTCCCCCTGTATGACTTTCCTGCCCATTGTTTTTGCATTTCTTGCAGCATATATTGGCGTGAGTAAGCATGAATCACCGAAAATGTGCCAATCCCTGTGAAGAATTGGTCTAATTATATGGCTTCAGACATACAACTTATGAAACTTACATCACGCTCTGTAATGAAACACTACTTGCTCGTTTACCACCACAATAATAAGATGAACCTAGGACTTTCTAAGATCAGTATTTCGGTGGAGTAAGAGCGTAGAAATAATAAAAATCTGGAACAATTCTCAATAAGTATAGTCCCCAAAGCGCCCAGGATCTGACTCGCGTCGGCCTCTGTTGCTAGTGACGTGGATGCGTTGATGCTTTGATTTGGCATGCAAGAAGTCGTAGCTGTCTCTTCGTGAACAAGGGAAGGCATCTGTACATGATCCAGTTCATCTTGGATTACTAGCGTACTAGAAGGAAGAGCACCTGCATCTTCCACTTTTTTAGTACTACTACTAGTGGTTGTACTGCTATTAACCTCTATTATATTTGCTTTGTTACAATAAACGTTTGTTTTGTTAGAACAAGTCGCTTCACCAGTTGTAGATGACCTTCCTGCCCATTGTTTTTGCATTTCTTGCAGCATGAGGGCAGCACGAGACTGAGCTCCTACAGTGTCGGGTCCTAGTGGTTGTGCTCCAGTCAGTGGTTGCGTCCGGAACATAGTCCTCTGAAGTCCGTTTTCCTGTGGCTGTGTGCGAAGCATAGTACGAACGCCATCATCGCCGCGCCCGGTACCAACGAGACTACTAGGAACTCCACCTCCTCCTCTACCTGGCTGAGTGCGGAGAAGAGTACTAGGAATTCCACCTCCAGGTTCTGTGCGAGAACTAGTACCACTAGGTTCACCACCGTTCACAAGTTTCGCATTCAACTCACGTTGAGCAGTCCAAGCTTCAGTCAACGCGTCAACTTTCGCACGCAGTGTACCAACGTCTAATTTGGACTCGTGCAGCGACGTGTCATCTAGTGTGCGATCGGGATCGTATCCGCTCATCGCAGTTAAGGATATGGCGGGGACAATTCTGCTACTATGAGCCTCCTTTTCACCACCAGTTACCGCGTCCTCAGCATGTTCTTTGTCGATATTGTTTGAGGAATAGAAATGTTTATTCCAAGAGCTGTGCCCGTGGTAGAGATGATTCGCTTTTTGCGACTGATCATAATTTCTCTTAGTGCTAGCTGAGGAAAGGGCAATCGGCTGACTTCTCCCCAATGAAGTTCGTGTACAACTACCACTATACTCAGCTCGCCTATCATCGTGGTCTTTCAACCGCCCAATCCCTGCCTTAGGTTTCTGAAGACTTCTTCCTCCGTTTTTGGTGGAACCCTCTTTTTTACTAGGACGTTCCGCCAATTCCTCCCACCAAAGAAAGACAGCTTCGCTTTCGCGTTTCGCCTGTCTGCGTATTTGCGCGAGTGCAAGCAGATCTGTGCGACTGGTGCTACTTCCTAAGAAACCTGTTGCTCCACCAAGGAAGCCTGTTGGCGCAGTAGAAGTCATGTTGTGGTTAATGATGTCTGTCATAGTGGTCAATGTGTCATTTTGTAGTCGCCTTTCAAAATCTATCCAGAAGCACAAGAAGATGGTCCTTCATTGAGTAGAAATAAATTTATATCTCGCCTTTGGAGCAGCAGCAGAAACCACAGAAAGTTTTCTCTTAGATGAAGCAAAGAATTGTCGTGCTCCCAAAAGCAATGCTTGTCGAAAAGATTTGCATAAGAGTCTGTAAAGACATTTTTTTTGCTGTCCTTGAGGGAACACAATAAAGAGTGTCACAACCCAGTTTTCCGATCACGCGGCTCCGCTTCTCGCCCTTCTTAGTTGTCGCTTCGTCTAAACTGTGCTTGCCCGGAAAAAAAAAGTCATCATATGATCTGCTCTGGAAAAAAAGTATGAATAATTCTTCGTCTCTTGATATGGCGGTATGTGTCTATTATCAGTTTTAAATTCTCCGTATCTTTTTCAACCCACAATAAATCATCTTTATCATACTAAGTTGTTCTACTAAATACTGCCTGCAGGGATACACCTAAGAATAGAGGGAAAACTTGTTCTGCGACTCATATTAGTAACCTACTCCTTGCGCATGCATCTCTACTAAATATTGACTTATACTTATGTGAATAAGTACATCTACTCCGCCATCATGCTTCAGAGAGCATTTTCTGAACCAAGTTGAGGACTTTGAAGACCTCTGGCGACACACATTTGCGACGCGCTGCTTGGTGGGCCAGCAGGGACCTCAAGGCCTGTGCGCTCTTCAGGGCTTCGCGACCCGCGACCGCCGATGATATGTCGTAGTTGGTCTTGTCTGAGTCTGCCTCAGTCAATTCGGAAATAACGCGGTCAGCTTGCTGTACCAACGACGTGTCGGAAGAATTATCTGTGGTTGTGTTGCGTTTTGGAAGGCACTGCGAGAATCGTCTTGGAAAAAAAGTCGTGTGACAAACACTAGGTCCACATCACTTGTTGCGAAGATAAGCAAATAGTTCCACGTGAATAAGCTGCTAATTCTACAAGCGCGACATCACTTAGGTGAAGGGCGGGCCCATCACTAAGTGCTGCGCTACGTGCCCCTTAAGTACTGCGCTACGTGCCCCGTAAGTGCTGCGCTACGTGCCCCTTAAGTGCTGCGCTACGTGCCCCTTAAGTGCTGCGCCTCCTATCGCTTAAGTGCTGCGCCTCGTCTCGCTTAAGTAGTGAGTGTCACCACTTGATCAACGGCGCCCTTAAGTGCTGCGCCTCGCCTCGCTTAAGTAGTGAGTGTCACCACTTGATCAACGGCGCCCTTAAGTGCTGCGTCTCGTTTCGCTTAAGTAGTGATTGTCACCACTTGAGCATCGGTTCCCTTAAGTGCGGCGTCACGTATCGCTTAAGCAGTGACTGGCACCACTTGAGCAGCGGTTCCCTTAAGTGCGGCGTCACGTATCGCTTAAGCAGTGACTGGCACCACTTGGGCGAGGGGCTCCTCAAGTGATGCTCTCCGAGGCACTTAAGGGACGTTGCTTCTCCGACAGGTCCCTTATGTTCCTCGCGAAGCGCCGCAACACCGACGGTTGAGGCACTTAAGGGACACTGCTTGTCCGGCATGTCCCTTATATGCCACGCTACATGACAAGTAGATATAGCAAGTCATAAAATCTACTAGATAAGTAGACTGCTACCTACTAAGAAATAAGTATGACCTGTGAAGAATATTGGTTTTAAAAAAGTCTCTCCTTACCAGCGCTGCCGTTCTCCTGAGTTCCGTTGCCCGTGCACGCGCGCACACGGCGTAAAACTTTGGAGACCAACTTTGGTTTCTCAGCGAGCTTTTGCAGCCACGGACTTTTCAGTGTTTGTGCTGCGTCCGACAGCATTTTTGCTGCGGAGTCACGCGCATCTGCTTGTAGCACAGACTCAATTCTAGGAAGACTACCAGTAGCACTCCTGTCAGATGCAGTTGCCTTCTGTTCTTCTAGTCCACGACTCGTCTCTTCTGTAGTACTACTCCTCGTACTCGTACTCATCTGGTTTTCTACCTCTTCTGATGTACTACTTGTACTACTGCTACTAGCATGGAGATTCGCACTACTGGTCTCCAGGAAGCTGAGTCCCAGCATGTCCGCGATATCCTCATCTTGGTGCCCTTCGCTCGCTGCTGCCTGGTCCTCGACGTTGAGAAGCACCGCTCGCTTCTGGTCTTCTTTGTTTGTACTCAAAACAGCAGATGCACTAGATTCTTTTTGTAGTTGCGGCTCTGCCTTCGTCGAGGTACTCCGACTTGCTCCAAGTGCAGAAGCTGTGGTTGCACTAGCACCATCCAAATCCACAGCTAGCGCTGTACCAGTACGACTATCCGCAGTATCTGCGTGGGCTGGCACTGCACTACTGCTTCTAGCCACACTACCCGCATCAAGTGAAACTGCGCTACCGGGATCCGTAACTGACACTGATGTGCTACTACTCTTATCTACTATGCCGACTGCAGGAGGAGATACATCAGTCTGGAGTAGCGCCAAATTTCCATGCTGGTTGGCTTCATCCTCAGCCCAAGGATCGCGCAAACGGTGTACGAAACCGGGAAGCGAGCCTTTCGCTGGCTGCTTGGGGTGAAAAATGACAGGAGCTGAGGCGCTCGTTGCCAATTGGGATTAGAATTGTAATATTTACGATAACCGAAACTCTAGATTAACAATACAATGAAACAAGTTAGTACACTAAATTCATTGTCTCTTGAGTCTCCTTTTCCTAAAGAAATGTAGAACTTCTTCTCGTCTGTGGTGAGAAAATAAAAAATATCCAAAGATGCCTCAAACAGAAAGCTCCCCACGAGATGGCGCCGGCGACTCAGTTGCAGAGGTGCCGTTATTTTGTGACTTGGTAGTTTTCGGCTGTGCCACAGGAATACTGGTGAAAGAAGTGGGAGGGGACTTCATCGTGCTACTTCTCTTCTTCTGAACCGCATGATCTGAAGAGCGTGTAGAAGTTGTGCTTCGCGTTGATGCGTCAGGAGTTAATTGACCATGCGTCACTTGGGAGATCGCTGCAGCTGCCCCAGTAGAGACTTCTGCAGAGGAGGCTGTATTCAACTGCCCCACGGCCTCACTTCTCTGAGCTGTTCTTGCTTTCTTCTCAGCCGTTGGTCGTGCTGTGGTGCTTTGGCTACTTCGTGCTGTGGCATTGTACGCAGTCGCCACCACCAAGAACGAGCGCTGTCTTAGTGATGTTGATGGTGCTGGTGGTTGTTGTAGTTCTTGTAGGCTACTTGTTTCCCCTGGACGATTTGCGAGGCGCAGCCACGACGCCGCTGCCGCAGCGAGTTCGGAGGCAGCGACGAAAGCCGTGGACGCTTCTGCAGCTTCCTCGCATGTCGTGTCTAGAGTGCCAGAGAAGGTCTCGGCGCGGCGCAGGGATGCCAGCTCACGGCCTTCTCGGTCCTGCACGTTGGCCGCAAAGGCTGCTGCGTCAGCGACGGCTTGCTGCAGGGACACGGCCCTTGCCGCCTGTGGCAGTGAGGCGAGGGCGATGACCGTTTTGCGACGTTTGCATTTGTTTTTGTACGAAGAGGCCATTTTTCCTCGCTCAATAACAATCTTACATAGTGTAGCAGACAAAAAAAAAGCGGTCTCACTTAATAATTGAAACCTTTCTATATATGGGCGCCTTGGGGGCGACTGCGCTGTTGGTCAAACCGGTGAGGACACTCAGGGCGGGTCAGTGAACGTGCTTCAGAACAAGAGTCCCTGCGCGGCAGCCGCACGGACCGTCTCGCGCACTCCTTCCGTGTGGTATCAATGGAAGTGCGCGTCGCCTCGCCGTGGTGAACAAGACAGACGGCGCGGCCAGTATCCAGCCTGGCGCAGGTCGCACGATTCCGCACGCGGGAGAGGGGGTAAGGGAATGCTCGGGAGGCGACGAAAATGGCATGTCGCGCGCAAGTCAGAAAAATCAAGTGGCACAACCTGCGAGGCCAGCAAGCCACGGCCGCAAGAATCCGGCGGAAGATACCCAGGGGGCGCGGCTACCGAGGCCTAGCGCGGCAGGAGAGCATCGCAGGCGCCGGAATCCGGGGCGAACAGATCCGAAGACCCGGGCCGCGCGGCCTGCCTTCCCCCGCGAGCGCGGGTGGGTGGACCAGTCGCTCCCCTAAGTCGGCCCGCGCAAGTCGTCGGCGTATCGCGGAGCGCTTGCCAGGCTTGGAGCACCAGGCCGAAGGCCGGGCCCTTTGGGCCTCTGCTCCCGCGCCGCCCTTTCCCCCGGTCTCCTCGGGCCCAAGGCCCCCTGAACCTGCCGAAGGCCCCGGGCGCCGCAAGAGGGCCACCACGGGAGGGGGGAAGTAGGTAGGGCTCGAAGCGCGGCCGCTACGAAATTAGTTCGCAACTACCTGAAGCGCGCGACTTTCTTCGAGTAGATGGCGCGCAGTCTTCGCAACTACCTGAAGCGCGCGACTTCCTTCAGGTTGAGAAGGTGGCCCCCTTTCGAAGTCCCTTTTTTCGAGGCCTTGACTGCCCGCGATCGAGCGGCCGTCTGTTTTCGGGTCGCGAAGCTGATGCGTAAAACCTCGCCTCCGCCATTAGATGGCGCGCAGTCTTCGCAACTACCTGAAGAGTGCGGCTTTCTTCAGGTTGAGAAGGTGACCACCTTCAGAAGACGCCTCTTTCCGGGGCCTTGACTGCCCGCGATCGAGCGGCCGTCTGTTTGCGGGTGACGCCATTAGAGGACGCGACGCCCTCGCAATTCCCTGAAAAGCGCGACTTTCTTCGAGTTTGGAAGGTGATCCCCTTCAAGAGTCGCCCTCTTTCGAAGCCTTGCCTGCCCGCGATGAGTCGAGTACGGACGCGAGTCGCAGGGTTGCCCAGCAGCCGGCTCGCGATAAGCCGATATCCGACGCGCGTAGCAAAGTTGCCGAGCAGCCGGCGCGCGATAAGTCGATAAGAGGGGGGGGCGCAAAGCTGCCTAGCAGCCTGTTCGTAATAAGTCGATAAGCCGGCAACAGACGGGGGGCGCAAAGTTGCTGAGCAGCCAGCCCGCGATAAGTCGATAAGCCGGCAACAGACGCGCAGCGCAAAGTTGCCGAGCAGCCTGTCCGCGATAAGTCGAAAACAGAAGCGCGCCGCAGGGTTGCCGAGCAGCCGGCCCGCGGTAAGCCGACAACAGACGGGGGGCACAGAGCTGCCTAGCAGCCTGGCCGCGGTAAGTCGACAAGGCGACGACAGGCGGGCAGCGCAGAGCTGCTCAGCAGCCTGCCCGCGGTAGGTCGAGCGCTCATCGGTGGAAGGCGCTGGCCCTTTGTAGGTCTGAAACGCTCAGGGCTTAGAAGGGTTATGGGCTTTTAAACCCTAAAAGTTTCAGACCCGTGAGAAGGGCCGCCACCTTTGGGGCCATCCGTTTCCCTTCTGTAAGTCTGACACTATCAGCCACCCACTGCTTCCAAAGTCCCGGCTTTCTCGCTACAGGTGTCGGATAGAAGCGAGGACGCCGAAGCTTCGGCGGAAACTGATGGGGAAAACGGGCGACCGCTTTTCTCCATTAGTTTCCCGGAGGGCGCTATAAAGGGCGCCCCAAACGAACCAAACTAAGGACGGGGCCGCCCTCTACAGGGGCCCTCGGGAAACCAATGCAAGCAAGGCGCTGGCTTTTTGTAACTTCCTCGCGATTAGCATCAGGCCCCCACTGGGTTCCGCCGGTTCTTCTTGCTGCTGGGAACTCAGTCGAGGCCAGCGCAGGGCACGCACTAAAATTCGCGGCGCTTTCCTGTTTGCGTGCAAAGCTGACGCCTAGAATCTTGCCTCCGCCACTAGATGGCGCGCAGTCCTCGCGACTCGCTTGGGAGTGCGTCCCCCTTCAAGTTGGGGGGGCTTCCTTCTTACGAGGTCGCCACTTTTCGAAGCCTAGTTGACCGGGATCATGCGGCCGCTTATTTGCCTGGCGCGAAGCTGGTGCCTAGCGCCCGGCCTCCGCCACTAGGTGGCGCGTAGTCCCCGCAATCCGCTTAAGAGTGCGACTCTTCGAGCGAGAGAGGCGCACCCCTTAAGGGGCCGCCCCGCTTCGGGGCCCTGGCTGTCCGCGGTCGTGCGCTCGTTTCTTTGCCTGTCTGTCGCGAAACTGGTGCCGAAAACCTTCCCCCCACTGGATGGCGCGCCACCCTCGCAATTCGCTTAAGAGTGCGAACCGCTTCGAGCTGGGCAGGGGAGGGCGATCCCCTTAGGGGGTCGCCTGCTTTCGACGCCTCGACCCTCCGCGGCCGCGTGCTCGTCTGTTTGCTTGCCGCGAAGCTGGTGCGTAGAACCCTGCCCCCGCCATTAGGTTGCGCGCAGTCCTCGCAACTTCCTGAAGAGTGCGACTCCCTTCAGGTTGTCGAGGCGACCCCCCTAGCGCTAACGAGTCGCCTTTTTTCGAAGCCGTGGCTGCCGCGATAAGTCGACAGCAAACGCGTAGCGCAGCGCTGCCAAGCAGCCGACCAGCGACGAGTCGACAACAAACGCGCAGAGCAGAGCTGCTTACCAGCTGGCCCGAGATACGTCGACAACAGACGCGCAGCGCAGAGCTGCCGAGCGGCCGGCGCGCGGTAACCCGATAAGAGACGCGCAGCGCGGGGCTGCCTAGCAGCCGGCCCGCGCTAAGTCGATGACTAAGTGTCCAATCCGTAAGAGCTTCAGACACGCAGAAGGGAAAGGGAAACGATGGCCACAGGGAAGGGACTCCTCACGGGTCTGAAACTTTCAAGAACTAAATGCCGCGCGCTTTGTGGGCCCTGACACTTTCAGACTCGCAGAAGGCAAGCGGAAAGGGCGGCCGGGCGACTGGTAGAACCGAGAGACCCCCACCCCCCTGGGAAGCACACGGGGGGGCGTCCTCGCTCTTTCTCCATTGAGAGCGCCAGCCACTGTCTGCCGACGAGCGACGGCCAAGAAGAACCCAGGCACAAGCCCTAAAGCCGGCGCTAAAGGCCCTGCCTTCTCGCTACTTAAACCAAATAGGAGGGGGGAAGTCGCTAACCCGTACAAAACTAATTGGAAAAATGGCGCACCGCTTCACCGCATTAGTTTCCCGGAGGCCCCTATAGGGGGCCGCCTAAACCATGCCCCGCAATGGGTTCCATTGGCCGCCGATTAAGGGCCTGCCGAAGTCCTTTCCAGTGCGAGGCTACCAAAGCGCCCAGCGCTCACGCCACCCCTGCCCAAGGCCTTCGCGGTGCACTGTAGTGAGCCACACGCAAGACCGAGGCGGCAAGAGATGCCCGCTCTGTGTCCCGGGATCGCTGCCCAGCCGTAGCAAAACCGACGACCAGACGCCAGAAATGCACAGAAAAGAAGAGAAGGCAACACGCGAAACCGATGACAAAATGGACGGCACAAGAGCAAACCGCGGCCACGCCTTGGGCAGGATCGGGGGGAGCAAATGAAGACAAGAGGCGGCAAAGAGATCCAAAAGGGAACCGCAGCAGCGCTGTCCGCTAGCGGGATCGCTGAAGAGTTTCGCGGGGGGACTCCGATGGCGCGCAAGTGTCTCCCAAGATATCAGAACAGAACCGCGGCGCAGAGGTGGCCGACCCGTGGCATTATATAGAGAGAGACGCGAGGAGGCGCGAGAAACAAACGAGGGAAAGCAGCCGACGCGAAACCGATGAGCAGACGCCAGAAAAGCACAGAAAAGAAGAGAAGGCAGCACGCGAAACCGATAACCAAGCGGACGGCTCAGGAGCAAAACGCGGCCACGCCTTGAGCAAGACCGGGGAAGCAAATGGGGGAAAAAAGGGGGCAGAGAAACCCACAAGGGAACCGAGGCAGCGCTGTCCCTGATCGGTTTCGCTTAAGAGTTTCGCGGGGACCGACTCGAAACCGATGCCCGCACGAAGTTCGAAACTGTTAAGGGACAGAAGGGACTGACAAAACGGCCGGCAGCTTTTTGCGTTTTGTCTTCACTTTTTTGGCCTTTTTCCCGCGTTTGTGTTTTGCGCTGTGGCAATTCCCTACCTGCGAGGCCTCGCCGTGTGTCTCGCTTTTTGGCGGGCTTGCTCCCTAAGTGTTCAAAAGCCGAAACCGATAGACGATTCAGGCGAAACCGATAGCGGCACCCAAAAAACACTCGCCGCCTTGGAGTTTTTGGGCGTGTTTCGCCACCCGCCACAGTGAGAGCACAGGCCACAAGCGCGCAAGCCTCCGGGGATACGATGCACCCTGCCACCGCGTCGCCGTGTCGCGGTGCGCAGGTGCGTCGCTACTTTGCTCCGCTTGCACACCGGCGCGGCGACAGGACAGCCGAAACGACTGGCCCGGCCGAGTGTATGACCAAAAAGACGGAGCAGGCGGAACGCCGGAACGAGCAGAACCACTGGACAGGCGGACCGGCTGAACGAATGGACAAGACGCGCGACTTGATAGATAAGCAGAGCGGCTTAGCAGGCGGGACGGCTGAACAGGCAAGACGCCGGAACAGACAGAACGACGGGACCCGCAAGACAAGCAGAAATGAACGAACAGGCGCGCCGGAATGGCTGAACAGACAAGACAGCCGAACAAGCAGAACGGCGCAGCAGACAGAACGACCAACGGAACAGACAGAGCGACAAAACAGCCAAGACGAATAAGCAAGGAGAACGACAGAAGAGACAGAAACAAGACCGAACAGCCAGAACGACGGGACAGACAAGACGGCGGAACGGTCAAG